AGAGAGAGAGAGAGAGAGAGAGAGAGAGAGAGCAGGAGAGGGAGAGAGAGGGAGAGAGAGAGGGGGGGAGAGAGGGAGAGAGGGAGAGAGAGTGAGACACATGCCCACGCTCATGCAAGTAAAAAGAAAAAAATTATTATTAACCCTTTCTCCCCACTCATCTCTCCTCAGTTGCTGGAATTTCCAACTCAACCCCGACTACTACTGGATCCTCCGGGGCTCCGGGGTAGCTGTTGTGGTGGTAAATACTTACTTATTCTTTTCTTTCTCTTTCTTTTCATCATCTTTACTCCTTTTGTCCTGCTTCTTTTCTTCTTATTTACTTCCTATTTCCTCCTTCTTTTCTTCATCGTTACTCCTTATTTGCTTCTTCATTTTTATTCTTTTCTTCCTCCTTCTTTTCTTCATCGTTACTCCTTATTTGCTTCTTCTTTTTTTTTCTTTACTTCTTCTTTTTTTCTTCTTTTTAAACATTCTTTTCCCCATTCCCCCCTTGATTTTTTCTTCTTCTTTTCCTCTTCTTTTATTCTTCGTGGGGGGGGGGGGTCTTCTCCTTTTTCATATGTTTCACCTTATTTCCTTCTTCTTTTAGTTTATTTTTTCTTCTTTTCTTCTTCTTATCTCCTTACTTCCCTATTTTATCTTCATCTTTTCTTCATCTTTACTTCTTATTTTCTTCTCCTTTTCTCCTTATTTTCTTCTTCTTTTCTTCTATTTTGCTTCTTCTTTTCTTTTCCTTTTTAAAATTATTTTCTACTTATCTCCTTCCTCTTTTCTTCTTTTTCTTATTCTTATTTCCTTACTTCCCTCTTTCATCATCTTTTTCTTTTCTTCTTCATTCATTCTTCTTGCATTCTCTTCTTCTTTTCTTCTTCCTTTCTTCATCTTTGGCCCTTATTTCCTTCTTTTATTCTTCTACTTTATTTCTTCTTTTCTTCTTCTTTCTGTTATTATTCTTTTCTCCTTTTCTCCTTCGTCTGGTGAGTTGACCAAACCTCTTATTTTGATCAAGTCTTCATGTTCCCTGTGTTGTTTTTTGAGAGATAGCTTTCATATATTATTATAGGCTTTATAAACAGTATTGTTATGGTAAAATGTGACCTAATCTCTATCTTCCTTTTCATTCAATAATGTAATGTCACTTTCGTCTGGTTTTGCGTTTGGTTTTTTCTTTGTGTGGTTTTTGTTTTTGTTTTTGTGTTGTGGGGGAGGGGGGGTTGTTTTGTTTTTTGTTGCTGGCTTTTTTTTCAGATTGAGAAATTATTAATTTTATTACGCTCTCTCTCTCTCTCTCTCTC